ATATATATTAAGTCAATTACATTATAATCATATTATTATAAAAGATAGAAGACTGAGATATACAAGAAAACTGTATATAATTACTAAAGATATAATTACTAAAATCACTTAAATATTCGCGAAATAAACAATCTAATGGAAGATGCGTGTTTTAGATGCTTGAAGATGGGAAATAGAAACAGTACGGAAAGAGAAAGACAACGTTTAAACATTGAAAAGACTGCGACATTGTTTACGTGTCCATTTTGTAAACGGAAAAAGTCATGCTATGTTAAAATGTAAGTTATTCATGTAAGTTCCAAGAGTCCCAAAAAGCTACTTGAATTCGTATTGAAGTCGAAAAAAATTGATTGAATCCAACTTGCACATTGTTTTTTTTTAAATATTTTTAGCGATCGCGAAAAGAACATCGGGAAAATTAAATGCAACGAATGTAAACGCCACACTTTTACCAACATGACTTATTTGACGACACCGGTGCAAGTTTTCTTGAAATGCGAAGAAAAAATACAAACTGCTGCTAACTAGTAGAGAGAATGAAAGAGGAAGAATATTGGTCCGGGAAAGTTTTATCCATTTTATAATCTGCGTTCGATAGTTCAACATTTTTTATTGTATATGTAAATTGTTTACGATACTTTTCTCGACATCTCCGATACTTATTTTTATTTACTGATAACTTAAAACCGTAATTTAAATATAATTGTAATTATATAATATAATTTCAGTGTAATAATATAATTTCAGTGTAAGCATCTACGTAATGATAATCGGAATTAGGATATTGACAGGATATAACAATGATCGTCACGTATTATTTTTTTCAAATAAAAAATAGAATAAAGGTAATTTGAATTTTCTAATTGTATAAAAGATTGAGATCATATAGTGTATTTAATTATATAAAACATACACTATTGTATAAACATACCAATAATATATATTTTGATATTGAATACACTATCTCAATTTCTTTTACAATTAAAAAATTTATAATTAAAAAATTCTGTTAACTTATCAAAATTACCCCGCTTTATTCTGTATAAATATACGTATAATTATGTAGAAAAAATAGTAGCAAATATAATAAATAATTAGAAGAATAATTTTGATTTATTTTTTACGAAAAAATGAAAAATATACCTATATATATAATCAATTATATACGTATATTATTACATTAGTAAGATATAGAATATTATATAATTACAATTTTTTGTAAAAAA